AGGTTTTACATCACTGAGTCTTGGTTCTAAAGTTTCTCTCTGTGGTAAAGATGTGTTTTGTCTCACAAACCAATACTCAAATGTCAAAATCACCTGAATTCTGTTTGAGTTTTTTCTGCTTATATTTAATTTGCACTTGTACTGAAAACCAATCAATTATAAATTGGCACACATTATTTTAAGGTTCATTTTGTATCTCTTTGGCACTTTCTAAGTGGTGCACAGTATATTGAATAATTGCTTGTGTACATTGCATTTAAAAAAGGCCGTGGAGTTGATTTCAGAGACTCTGAAGTTTTAGTACAAACATTTACATTAAACATTTTGTCAGAAGCTCTTATAATTTCACGTCGACAGTTGAGTAAATCCAAACACGACCATTGAGATTCAACATTTCCCCTTGCTTCTACTTATTGTATTTCATGAAATGTATCCTTAAAGTTCAGCTCAGTGTTGCTTGACTGGTAGCTATTTTTCAGATCTCATCTACCATCTACTCCATCATTGTGTTTTGCTGCAGGAGGCTGCAGTTGCACATGTTGTTGTTGCAACCTGAGGGTTTCATGTTGTGTAGAAACCATCCAGAATCATGATGTAAGAGTTGGGCCTGAAAATGCACCATATTATATCCCTACTTGGCAAGTGGTCCCCACATGACAGGAATACATGTATCAATCGAACTTTCAACTTTGTTGCACATTTCGGATAAACAATACTTGTTTTGTTTTAAAGAGCCTGGTTTAAAGTTAGCGAGTGTGTGTCCCACATATGATGAACACCAGTTGTTTTTAATGAGTCTGGGTGTCAGGGTAGGTGAAAACATTTCCTTTGCTTTAAGAACCCCCGCTGTCGTGACCACAGGCGCACAGTGCAAGCAGCTAGCTGACTGAAAACTCCTTTTAAACTCATTACTGATTTAAAAGCAACGGTGGCTGCGGCTTCCATGTTTGTCACTGCTGCGATTGTCCCGCACTGCATCGCTATGGTGACATTGTTTCTTATTACAGTTTAGATTGATTGTTGCTGCTGCTGCTGTTGTTGCTGTTGTTTTTTCGGTATGGATCTGACACAGTGCCTACCAAAAACCATGGGACCCTCCCTGTCATCTAGACACACACACTCTCTTTCAAACACACACACACATTCATACAAACACACACCTGCTCCAGCGCCCCCCTTTCATCAGAAGTCTTTTTTTTCTAAGCTTCAGTCTATTTTGCCACAAGCTTTTCCTACTAACTGACCGCAATAAGACCCATGTGATTTGAAAGACTTAAAGCTGTTCCTGCCTGGGGACATTGGAAATATTCACCATTTGAAAAAAAAGATGAAATATAGAATAAAAAAGTGTTTTGTACAGAAATATATTTTTATGATGAAATTATTTGTAAAATGTATGAATCTATTATGTACATTTTCAATGCAATGTAAGATTAAAAAAGGCTAATTGCTTTTGTAAAAAATGTGTCTTCCTTTGCTGTCTTTTTTTAACTGGTTCAACCTCTTTAACTGATGTATAACAGGCAAAAAAACCTCAAACAAAACCCGAACATATTGTCATTTATGAGGAATGTTTAACAAGCTCACATACATGCCAAGCTAAATGTTGTAAACAAGTCTCATGTGAAATGTAAAAGTTTTGACTTGAAAACTAGTTTTCAAAGTCAGGGATTGTATTGAAGAGAAAGACCTGCAAGCATATTTAATTATATACATTACACATACATAAATATGCTATCTCACCTTGAAAGGACATCCCTAAAATTCTGCCATTTATTCACAGTGAAGTTCTTATAACCTGGAAATTCACAATATTATTTTTGCAGTTACTTTGTGCATAAAAAGCAGGTAATATGAAAATAAAATAAAGACTTATTACAAGAGATATGTATGTTTTGATACTTTGGAAGTGCAAGACTACATTGTTTTTTAATCATTCATATTGTATTAATAAATGAATGGTGCACCGGTACCATGTTGTTGTATATTTATAAACCAAACCACATTCAACTGCTAATAATGTTGGAATCAAACCTAACAGGTCGACCTTTACGACTACCCCACATGCCCTGAACATTAAGCGGGCATGGGGAAATGAGACTGGTAAGCTTATTCAGAAAAATAACTCAAGAAATTAAAAAAACAGTTCATTTATTTTGTCAGTGTAGACTAAGAAATCATTATCTGCATTTACATGTCATTGGTTGCCATTTAAACTGATTATATTGCAATGCTAAATAATACACAATTTCATGAGTGAATACTTCAGAGTGTACAACCTGAAATGTACATATTGTTCCACATTTTCCTAATAGAGTTTAAATGTGTTGGGCGCTTGAGCTTAAATATCGGGATACATGTATGTATTAATCCTTGCAATTAATGGAAGTACTCATCACATACAGAGCATATGGTACAACTAGTTCCCCGAACAGTGTCCTTCACATGCTTATATACAAGAAAGGGTGTTACACAGTCACAAGATGGAATACCGGTTCAAAGCAGTATACAATGTTTAGTTTAGATTAGCTAAGACCCATGTCAGAAAAGATCATGCTTGTCATATGTCTATCTCCATAGAGGCTGAATCATCATGTTAATCATTAATATATGAGGCTGTATGATTACCCAGAAGAGCATCAGGACACACTGTTTTAGCTATCATATGCCTAAAACAATGTGTCCTGAGCTGACGCTCTTCTGGGTAATCATGCATCCTCTCATGTACACAGCTACAGTTGGGCCTTTGTTATTATGTGCTACTGAGCCCACCTAATATCTCCAAAATTATCCATCGGGTTGAACGGGCTATCCATACATAACCCCAGCACCTTATTGTCTGTGTAGGTAAGCCTTGGGCTATTCAGTTTTTCCTCAAATATACCCTCTTTATTCAACAAGCCACTTCGAAACCCGTCAGCTTTTCTCCTTTGCTTTTTGAAAAACACAATTGTAATTTATTGTGCGATCCAGCGCATACATACAGTATTTGCTGTTGATAAATGGCACGTTAATCCTTGAACACATAATTGTGCACATTCCAAGCACCAAAATGTTTCTTTACAAAGTAGATTAAGACTTCTGATCAACAAAAGACTGAGGTAGCTGAGGTAACAGTCAGATAAACTGTGAATTCATTACGTGTTTACATCATACCACAGGAGAATGGATTAAACTCAACAAAAGCTTCAAGTTTTGCTATAAGGAACAACTTTTAAACACAGGGCCCTGTGTGACCTTTACTAACCTCTGAAGTTTGCAAGGGGGAACAGCATCAACTCTAACTAAACTTTTTTCCTGCTATCTTTGTCGGCTGGTAAACTCTTTAAAAGGCTTTAAAGTTTAGTTATATTTCTTTTCGAACATTCACATATCTAAACTTTGCAGATATGTTGGTCTATTAAATCTAAACGAGATAAACGAGGATACAAAGTTTAAAAACTTCCATCATAAATCAGATTATAACAAAAATACAGTATGATTTGAAAGTTGTATTAGGCTAGCTTTTTTGTGTTAATTCGTTATAGACTAGCCTATTTACATTTACATTAAATTGCCGTGAAATTTGATATAACTTGCTGTATTTGCATTTAGCCTACTGTACTGTGGCGGTTCTACGGGGTGGCACGGGGTGGCAGCTGCCACCTCAGAAAAATGCCTTGCCACCCCAGCTGCCAGTGCCTCCCCATTTGGCAGCTTTGTTTTGAAAGAAAAGTTGTGGCTCATCGGACATTTATGAGAGAAAATCTCTAATGTCCGAGTGCAAGTGAATGCAGCACAAGACGCGAGCCTTGTAACCAGTGCTTGAATTGGAATAAAAAAGGTGCCAGTACTCTAAATCAGCAACAAGTATTTGGCACAAAGTCATAGTATATCCTATAATGCTGGTGGGTTTGTCTCTTTACTGTATATTTTAGAAAGGCTCACTGTACTTAAACAAAATGACTCAGGGTGCATCTGAGATTAGAGGGGGTGCAGTGGTAAAGTGCTATTTTTATAAGTGGGGAGTGGACCTGACACCCTCTAGTCTAGGGGGGTCCGGGGG